TGGATGAAGTGGCTGGGGAGAGGGAAGTCTGGGTTTCCCTGCTGAGACTGCTGACTGATAAGCGGGAGATAATGGATGGATGGATGGACTAGTGAAAACTGAATTATGTAGACCTATATCTTCAATATGACGTCTTACTAGTAAAAATGGAAATTTTGGTTATGAGAGGTAAAAGTTTAATGGAAGTCAATGGTAATATATTACATGTAAAAACTGAGTTATTGAAATCTGGAATGCATATTTTTTCTAGTAAATTTTAAGTTATGCCCAGTGGGTCTTCTATTAAAAGACAATTCGGCAGTATACCTGCGCCTATCTATTAAGAATTGGAGATCAGTGGTCATTGTTCACACACCACAGCACGCAGTGCACAACAACAAAATGTGTCCCCTGCATTTAACCCATATGTGACATCGTGACATAGCAGGGGGCAGCTAATTCAGTGCCCGGGGAATCAGTACCTGGGGGCAGTACCTTGCTGGTCGGGGATTCGAACCAGCAATCTTTCAATTACAAGTGCACTTCCCTAACTAATAAGCCATCACTGCGCTGGTAAAAATAATATAGCTATTTTTGTGTAATTGTGTTAAGAATGTAAATATATGTATATGAAGTATATGTGTGTAACGTAACTTCGCAGTGTATATTCCTAACTAAATCGAACAAAACCTTGATACTACACCCAGGGGCGGATTAAGGTGTACAGAGGCCCCTAGGCTACAGTAGTCTGTGGGCCCCCCAACCCCACCCCCCTCCGCGCCAATGGGGGCCCCCTTGCAGGCTGGCACACGTGGGGCCCCTAGGCTTAAGCCATATCTAGCCTGTGCGTTAATCCGCCCCTGACTACACCTACTGCACTACTCACCTGTTTAGCTAATGCTGTTTGATACCAAATGTTGATCACCAAACTACTCGCTGAAAACAGCTGTTTTTGCTCCTTGGTCACGTGACGGATGTGACTCCTCCGGCCTCAAAGCCGAACGTCACTGGCAGTTTGGAGCGGCTCGTTTTAGGTGCTGAAATCGCCGTATCTACGAACAAGTGAGTATTTCTGTGGTAACTGAGAAACATGTTTAAATGTACATTTACATTTCTGTTCCATATATTTATATATGTCACTTTTAAACTGTGCTACAGATTAGGTTAAAAAGAAGTGTGAATACGTTTACATTTTTTTTCCATTTGAACTCGCTAATCACGATAAAACAGCTGGCTAGCTATTCAAATTTGCGTTATATTATAGGTGTCATATAAATTGGATTTGTTGTTCTGTACAGCAAGGTTTTGTTGTTCTGTACAGCTGGTTTCTTACTGTCACTTTCGTTTTTAGCAAAAGTCAATGCGGAAGTTAGCTACTAAACTACCCATTAAATAAAAATCTTCTTCTGTATTACATTTCTATCTCAAAAAGATGTTCTTACATTTAAAAGTGTTCATTGTGCTCTCCAAAATGTTTAATCGCAATTCACATAATCCGTTTGACTATGAAAACCCATGTCCGTCGATGTGATGGAAAAAAGATCCCCCAAGTCGAACTTTCTCGAAATAGTAACTCTCGAAATAATGACGTAGTATCTCAAAATGACGAGAAACTTTTTCATTATAATAACTAGCGGTATCAATCTTCATTACATCATATTTAATCACATTGGTGATGTCCGATTCATGAACGAATCGTTCTTTTGAAGCGGTTTTTTAATCTAAAAGAATCGAACTTTTTGTGCATCCATGCGTTGACACGTCTATGATTCCAAAAATCTAAAAAAATATTTGTCAAATTAAGATATAAAAGACACACAGCGACCTTTTTAAATTCACTCATATTTGCTGTTAATATCATTTTCCTTAGGCAAGTTGCCTTCAGTGCTCCTCCGAATGACGTAATCCTTTGTGTTTGTGTTCATACACGACTGCATGGGAACGTGGCTATGGCGCACTTACTTCTGGCTCCGGTGTTCCGGGCAGTTCAGTTTCCCTATGTTTCCCCTGTCGCGCGCTGATTTGTACACGGTTTCGCTGTTGTTTTTATGTCTTTTTACGAAGCTCTTGAGGTAAACAAGCCATATATTTTAAAACATCACATGCCTTTTCGTTGTTTATTTTGTTTTTACAGATAATAAATGAAAGTATTTAATTTGCTGGATAGAGATATTTCTTGATGAAAACGGTATGGTATTGCTTATAAGACTATACTATGCGTGGCGATCTACTGTATTCACATGTAATAATGTACCTGAGTGATTTTCAGACATTTCACATACCTCTTTGCTTTAATATTAGGGGAAACATTATTTGCTGATAGACAGGGGAAACATGGGGAAACCGAATTGCCCGCAACACCTGCAATCCACGTGTTAGCGAGTCTCATGCTTTTAGTTTTATTTTAATTTTTATTACTCTCTGAGTAGTTCTGCATTTTGGCAAGCTCGTGAGACCCAAAACTCACAGAGTGACCGGTTCTGAGAGATCCGAGGTAGCTTTCCGGAAAGTGATCGATCTTAGCGAATAACGAACAAGATAACGAACGACGTAAGTAAAGAACGAGACGAAAGTAGTACTGTACTTTGTTGGCTCCTCCCCAGCCTCCGCGTTAATGGTTCATGACCACCCACAAAAGCAACGTGGGTTCCTGGATGACGCTGTCTCAAACGCTGTCTGCCATTGCTGGTCGTGAGGGGTGATTCCCCTTCTCAATTCAAAAGACTGAACACATAGCAAGTTTGATTGGTTAGCTCATTATGTAGCTTACCAGAGTTGTTCAGAATTTATTAATTGGATATTGAATTGACCACACCCTGCAAGAACCCTGAATTGGAATGTCAGAAGAATTTAATTCATTTCAATGCAATGCAATCATACAATATATGAATGTCATTTCAGGTAGCAAAACATACATAATGACATGACACTTTTACTTCCAACCTGGTAGATGTATATTTTGACCGTATACATGTATATGTACCAGTGAGTGAACTTTATATTTGTATGATTGTAAAATAATTGTGTAATTGTTTTAGCCAGTTGTAACAAAATCCATTTGGATTATATCAGCTTCCTAAGTCCTTTTCCATGGGCATGTATTTATTAATTTTGCATAATTAACTGTGTGTTATGTGTGTTACCCTTTGTGAAGAGTCTGCATGCAGTAGCTTTTCTTGTGGGTTGTCAGATGGATACGGTTGTGATAGAGTTACTTTTATGACTATGAAGTGCTCTTTCACCATGATACACAGAATGACAGTTAAATTATTTATTCTATAGGCGACACTTCAAATGTGGCATTCATTATGAATGACGGTGACATGTACAGACCTTTCAGTCAGGTGCTCAAACAGGGGGGCATGGCCGAAAGGTACGTTTTGCTAGTGTAAATATCCATAATCATGGGAGGGCGCGAATCAATGTGTCGCGCAGTATGCAGGACGCGGAGCAGAGACAGAGGAACGGCAGGCAGGAAATTGGGGAACACAGGGTTTAATCAAAAGGGTACATATACCTAGGCAAACACGCATTGATTTTACAATCAATTGTTTTTGGACTGGGGGGGGGGGTAACCTGATGGAGACCCCAGGATGATGCGGGGAGACCACGAATGATCCATACACATGGAGCAATGGCAAAAATTCGAACCCTGGTCTCAGATCAAAGTTTATTTATCAAATGTACAACAGTACAGCATACAGCAGTAGATGCAAACAATGAAATGAATACAAATTAAGCTACTTTTGTCAATCAAAAGCCATTTCATTATATTAATATGCAAGTTATCTGTAGTTGCTGACATGACCTTGTTTTTTTGTGCATTATCATTTGTTTTCTTCTATTTTTGTGCAAACATACTTTTTCACAAAAGAATATGCAAAGATTGATAAATGAGGCCTTTGATTCTGAGTTGCTGGGCTGTTACTTACTTAATGTGCAATAGATCTTGGGATATGTTGGACTGTGAAGGATCCCTCAGGTGGATTCCTTGCGACTCAGCAAAAGAAGTCGCCACTTAGAAGAGGGTTCAAAGTACCAGCATGCAATACGCTTAGAATTCATTATTAAATTTGGCCAGCAGATCGACACATAACAAAATAAGAATTAAAAAATAGTATAATACTATTCCACTAATCAGCAGTATCAAATTTCACTACCAGCACACCCCCCCCCCCCCACTCTGTATTGTCTATATTAGACATATTTACTTTGAATTTGTCCCTGCGACTTGTGCACCCTTCATTGTTTTAGAGTGGTGTGTAGTTTCACATGAAATTACGTGTGTAGTTTATCCTATTGCCCTTTGATGTCCCCAATGCTTATTTAGCATAAAGGTTACAGTTCCTGTTGTGCTGTGGGAAAGCGACACATAAAAGTTCCCTGTTGAGATGAACTACCATTTATCTACAGTAACTATGTGACCGGGAATTTCAATCAGACTGAGTTCCTACAGTGGGAATGCGACAAAAGCTCCTGAAAAAAGTTCCGCTGGTGCAAAAGGGCATATAGATCATCCAGTGATCCAGTGATGTTGTTGCATGATTGCCTAGCGCTATGTCACTTGTTTCAGGTTGTCGTGCTTTGTGAGCAAGAAAACTCCCTCTATCCATGGCCAGCAGCAGCCAGGAGGCCGAGACCCCTGAGATCCCACAGGAGAGCCGGCGCCTCAGCATCCAGCGCTGCGTGCAGTCACTGCTGCATGCCTGCCAGTGCCGCAACGCCAACTGCTCGCTGCCGTCCTGCCAGAAGATGAAGCGCGTGGTGCAGCATTGCAAAGGCTGCAAGCGCAAGACCAATGGCGGCTGCCCCGTGTGCAAGCAGCTGATTGCGCTCTGCTGCTACCACGCCAAGCACTGCCAGGAGAACAAGTGCCCTGTGCCCTTCTGCCTCAACATCAAGCACAAGCTGCGCCAGCAGCAGCTGCAGCACCGGTTGCAGCAGGCGCAGATGATGCGCCGGCGCATGGCCACCATGCAGTGCCAAAGACGAAAACTAAAACAAGGATAATCTCTTTTATAAAATCATGCAAGTTATTATTAAAAAAATGCTTAAACAGCTAATTTCTTGCTCATATACCATATTGTTAAATA